CAGGATATCTCCAGCTTCACCATTTCTGTTCTCGCAGGACAGCACCACCACAGCTTCACCATTTCTGTCTCCCAGGACAGCACCTTCCCGCTTCACCATTACTGTCTCCCAGGACAGCACTATCAGGCCCCCCAAATTACTGACTACCCAGGACATCACCTCCACCTTACAGTTTGTGACTACATGGCCAGTATCAAGGGCCATGACCATTCGCCCAGACTTTTTATTTCCCTCTGTTTGTAGAAAGCTCCAGGTTTTTCTAAGAAACAGCTTTGATGTTGTCCTCTTAATACCTAGTGATTTTAGTCCACAGATTTCCCATTTGGCATACCCAAAAACACTTCCCCTGTTTTAATACTTGCTTGTAGCTAGTTCTTGGATATCTGCACAAGGGGCGTGACACCAATTTCCACAAAAATGACAATTTATCCATGTGGAAGCCCGTTTGTTTGACTGACCACAGACTACACACAGCTTCATAATGATTTGAATGGTTGATTTACTGCAATTCTACTAGCAACCTCTTGAATATTCTATTAATAACCTCCTTAAATGAAGCTCTAGCTATTTGTATTTCTGTTTCTAACTGTTTTTGTATATTGGACAGCTTATCGTCACGTTCCTGCATTCCTTCCTACTTTCCTTCGTACTTTCCTTCCTACCTTCCTTCCTACCTTCCTACATTCCTTCCTTCCTTTTCTGCCTACCTACCTTCCTTTGTTCCTTACATCTTCTTTCCCCCTTTCCTTACTTTTTTCCTTCCTTCCTTTCATCTCGTCCCTCCTTCCTTCCTGCCTTCTTTTCTTCCTTCCTTCCTTTTGGTTTCTATATTATATATACATACATGTAGTCACTGGAAACTTAAATATAACTGCCATTATCTTCAGTAAGCAGCTGTGAAAATGACATATTGTCTCATTACTCACTTCCCCTACCGCCTGTCAAAACAATGGGGTCGGAAGCTCGCTTCTCCTCCATCCTACTACCTAATTATCTTTCTCTCTCATTCCCTCTCTCATTCTCTCCCTTATTCTCTCTCTCATTCTCTCCCTCATTCTCTCCCTCATTCTCTCCCTCATTCTCTTCCTCATTCTCTCCCTCATTCTCTCCCTTATTCTCTCCCTTATTCTCTCTTTCATTCTCTCTCTCATTCTCTCTCTCATTCTCTCTCTCATTCTCTCTCTCATTCTCCTTCATTCTTCATTCTTCTGGTATCCTTTGCATTGCTTTTGGTCACAAACTCCTCAAAACCATGAAGTTGATCTTCACTGACACTTCCATCTGTGTTAGAGCATCACTTGAGAAGAGAAGAGTCCCAGATTTGCCAGGGAGTCACATATTTCTTACCGCTAGGCATGCTGAACAAGCACTACTGAAATGGCATTCCCACAATGCACCACTGGCTCCCCAATTTTTTTTATATGGTGCACGCTGATCATGGAGACCCTTTCTCTCACATGTGGGCCTACCAGCTTTCTCCTGCTTGATTTGAAGCCTCTAGAATTTGTGCGTATTAATACGTCAAACACGGTGGTTTGTAAGACGTATATATGCGACCAAAACAGTCAAAAGGTTAAGGATCGAGGGCCTCGACCTTTAACCCCTTGACTGTCGCAACTGCAAATCCTGAGGTGTCTCCTGGTATCGAAAATTTTTTGAAAAAATAAAATTATTTTTTATTATGAACTGATAGAGAGTCTTATCCTGATGATAATGACACCAAAAGAATGAAATTTGATGGAAAACTTAAGGAATTACGCTCTGGTGAAGTTAGCTACCTCGGCGATTCTGCCCACTTTGAGCCCTATTTTCGGCTAATTCCAATGTTCCAGTCAACCAAACTCTGTTATTTCTTTAGAAGTACATTTGTTCTATCGGTTTTAGTATAAGAAACTGCCCATTTACTGATTGCAACTACCCAATAACGTGGTCAGAAATTTGCTATTTGGCCAATTTCACACAAATTAAAATATATGCCAATTTCAAAATAGGGTCCAGAATGAACAATGCAGACATTCTTGGCTCTAAAATAACATTTTCTTTGTTCATCAGTCACATCTCCAGGCCCCTCTGATATTACTCTTGCTTTCTATTTTTAATTTTTATTCAAACACAAAATAGAAGATTACTGTTATGCAGACTACTGCAATATTGTAATGATTGTATAAATAATGTCAGCCCATTCATGACTGCATATTAGAATTGCTAGTTGGACATTTAACCCCTTCAGGGTCCAAGGCCAAAATCTGAAGTGGTGCTCCAGTGTCCAAGAAATTTTGAAAAAAAAAAAATTATTTTTTCTTACAGAATTAAAGAGTATATTTTTGTGAAGGTAATAAGACAAAAAAAAGTTTTTTCTGATCAGTACTTACGGAGATACAGCGGCGGGAAGTTGACCCAAAATGACCAGGTGGCAGCAACATCAGTGACTTCCGCAAAATCCCCTTTTTTTATTTTATGTTTTTTATACTTTTTTCTTTTCTTTTCTAATGTTTTTCTTTTTCTAATAACATTTGTGGCCTGTGAGACCAGTATAATGTATATTGTATAAGTGTACACTCATTGTATTCAACACAATGACTGCACTAATTTATCATTATATTGCTTACAAAACTTGTTTACAAGTTTATTGTAAACAAAATGATGAAAATATTAGTGCGGTTGTTGTGTTGGAATACAACGGTACCATATGGTACAATGGTGCCACATGGTACAATTTTGGTACAATGGCACATGATAAAATGGTACCATGATAAAAATGGTACCACATGGTAGAATGGCACCATTTGGTACAATGGTACCATATGGTACAATGGTGCCATAGGGTGCAATGGTACCATATGGTACAATACCCATCATATGTTTACAATGGTACCATATTGTACAATATGGCACAGTGGCACATGATACATGGGTACCATAAATACAATGGTACCACATGGTAGAATGGCACCATTTGGTACAATGGTACCATATGATACAAGGGTACCATATGGTGCAATGGTACCTTATGGTACCATATGGTGTAATGGTACCATATGGTACCATATGATGCAATGGTACCATATGATGCAATGGTACCATATGGTAACATTGTACCATACAGTACAATGATCCCATATGGTTCATTGTACCATATGGTACTTTTGTATTCAACCATTAATATTTTCATTATTATTTTGGTTACAATAGTTGTTTACAAAAAAATATGCAAAAATGTTGTATATTAGTAATGTTCTTTTATGTATTTACAAGTGTAAGGAACTTACGTGTTCCTTGAGGTGGATGACAAAGCACTTTGTCTGGGAAACTGCGGAGTCATTTAGCTAGCTTGTGTGGCCACTCACTTAGTCTTGGCTGGTGTCTCATGCCACCAACACCTATTGACCATATGGGACACAGTTATGGGTTTCAGGGTACCAGATGGTACATTGTACTATATGGTAAAGGGTACCCTGCAAATCAGGATAACATATGGTGCAGGGTACCATTATGGTACAAGGTACCATATGGTACAGGGTACCATATGGTACAGGGTACCATATGGTACAGGGTACCATATGGTTCAGGGTACAATATGGTGCAGGGTACCATATGGTACAGGTACCATATGGTACAGATACGGGCTATAAAAAAAAATTAAAAAAGTCACCCTGACTTTTTGCGTTGTCCCAGGATTTTATACATATGCTACTATGTATGATAATTTATGTAATTGTATTTATGTACACCTGAATAAACTTACTCAAGTGCATGTGGCATCATAAGTAAGTTTATTTAGTTATACACAAATAAAGTTACATAGAATATCATACTAAGGATAACCCAAAAAAGTCAGACAGATTTATTTCCATTAGGGTCCCTGTACCATATGGTACAATGTACTATATGGTACAATGTACTATACATACATTGTACCATATGGTACCATATACCATTGTATCATATGATACCATTGTATGACATGGCACCATTGTACCATATGGTACCATTGTGCCATATGGCACAATGGTACCATTGTACCATATGGCACAATGGTACCATATGGGTCAAAACCATAGGGAAATTTATCTTCAGCTCCACTTCCATCATTCTTAGAACTGTAAGTTGTGAAGAGGAGAGTCAGAATTCGCCCGGGGGAGTGGGGAGTGAGAGCATCTTGCCGCCAGGCACTATGAACAAAGCTACTTTGCCGCTTCCCACAATGCCATGTGGGTTTTCCAGATTTTTTCTATGGTGTGCACACTGACCACCCAGACCCATTCTCTTAGATGTAGGCCTACCAGCCTTCTCATGCTAAATTTGACGGCGCTAGAATTTTGGCATAGATCTACGGTTTGGGGCCCTGAACGTAAAGCCGTAGAAATTTCGGGACGGACCCCGAAAGGGTTAATGGACAATGACATCATTTGTTTACTTTTGAACATCTGCAAAAATCAAACATTTCCCCTACTTTTAGCTCCATTTCAAGGTTCTTTTCATAGTAAAACCAATCAAAATATCCTCTACTTCTATAACATGTTTTCCCTTCTGTCAAATGAGACAAAGAAAATGAGAATTACAACCATTAATTAAATTTCTACACTAAAATACAACACAAAGTTAGTGTTTTAATCCAAAAAAGTGGTCGGAGTTTTTTTTTCTCACTATGCACTGTGTGCTGCAGGATTTTTTTATATGGTGCACACTGACCACGCAGACCCATTCTCTCACATGTGGCCCTACCAGGTTTCTCCTGCTTGATTTGAAGCCTATAGAATTTTTGAGTACATGTACATCAAACACGGTTGCTCATAAGACATATATGTATAACCGAAACAGTTAAAGGGTTAAACATGCGGGTGCTTGTTTTTAAAAACAATTGTTTACTTCCTAATATTTTTTCTTTTTTTTCTTTGTTTAGTTATTTTCTATGGTTATTTGCTGTTCATTTCAAATTTTCTATAATACAACATTTGTTGGCTTTTATTATAACATACCTTATGTTGACACATTTACAGGTGGCAGTCTACAACTCAATCCTCAAAGTCTGCAAAGTCCACAACTCAGTCATCAAAGTCAGTGTATTCCACAACTCAATCCTCAAAATCACTGCAGTCCACAACCCAGTTCTCAAAGTCAACGCAGTCCACAACTCAATCTTCAAAGTCCTCGCAGTCTACAACTCAATCCTCAAAGTCAACACAGTCCACAGCTCAATCCTCAAAGTCAACACAGTCTACAACTCAATTTTCAAAGTCAGCATAGTCCACAACTCAATCTTCAATATCAACACAGTCCACAACTCAATCCTCAAAATCACTGCAGTCCACAACTCAGTCCTCAAAGTCAACACAGTCCACAACTCAATTTTCAAAGTCAGTGCAGTCCACAACTCAATCCTCAAAATCACTGCAGTCCACAACTCAGTTCTCAAAGTCACCGCAGTCCACAACTCAATTTTCAAAGTCAGTGCAGTTCACAACTCAATCTTCAAAGTCAGTGCAGTCTACAATTCAATCCTCAAAGTCAACACAGTCCACAGCTCAATCCTCAAAGTCAACACAGTCTACAACTCAATTTTCAAAGTCAGCATAGTCGACAACTCAATCCTCAATGTCAACACAGTCCACAACTCAATCCTCAAAGTCAACACAGTCTACAACTCAATCCTCAAAATCAACGCAGTCCAGCAGATTGCTTCAATAGCATCCACCAAACTGTTTCATTATCATCCCTCACACCACACCAAACTAGGTAAGATGCAAAAATATTTCTTTAATATGACAAATATGTAGACATTATCTTCTTGTCTGTTAAGAATGAGAGATAGAGTAGTAAAGATAAATGGGATGACAATATTTCAAGTGAAATTCGAGAGCCAGTTAACCCTTTGAGGGTTTTGGCCGTACTAGTACGGCTTACGACCCAGGATTTTTGACGTACTAGTATGCCTAAATTCTAGTGCCCTGAAATCTAGTGGGAGAAAGCTGGTAGGCCTACATATGAAAGAATGGGTCTATGTGGTCAGTGTGCACAGTATAAAAAAAATCCTGCTGCACACAGTGCATAATGAGAAAAAAAAAACTTTGACCGTTTTTTTGGAATAAAACAGTGATTTTGCACTGTATTTTCGTATGGTATTTATTGTTGTATTCTAGTTTTCTTGGTCTCATTTTATAGAATGGAAGACATATTACAGAAATTGAGATGATTTTGACTGGTTTTACAATGAAAAGTACCTTGAAATTGAGCTCAAAATAGCAGAAATGTTCGATTTTTACCAAAGTTCAAAAGTAAACAAATCATGCCAGGCGTCCAATACACGTCAACTGGTGAGTCTAATATTCTTTTGCACGTGTGCCAATATTATTTATACCATTGTTTACACTAATGCAGTAGTCTGCATAACAGTAAATCTTCTATTTTTTGTGAGAATAAAAATTCAAAGTGGAAATAAAAAGAATGCAAGAGGGGCCTTGGGACATGACTAATAAACAGAGGAAATGTCATTTTAGTGCCAGGAATGTCTTTCTTGTTTATTCTGGACCCTATTCGGAAATTGGCATCTTTTGAAATTTGTGTGAAATTGGCAAAATTGCTAAATTCTGACCACTCTACTGGATAGTTGAAATTGGTAAATGGGTGGTTTCTTGCACTCATTCGATAGAAAAAATGGAGTTCTAGCGAAATATTCATGTTTTTTGTCGACTAGTACAGTGGATTTGGCTGCAAATGGGGCTCAAAGTGGGCAAAATCGCCGATGCGTAAACATCGCCGAGACCGCTAACTTCGTGAGAACATAATTCCGTAAGTTTTCCATCAAGTTTCATACTTTTGGTGGCAGTATGATTGGGAAAAGATTCTCTATCTTTTCATAAGAATTTTTTTTTTTTTTTTTAAATTTGGCCGACCTTGAGAACAAGTCTCGGAGAGGGCCTGTCGACCCTCAAAGGGTTAAATGCCAGAAATAAACATGGAAATGTCATACTAAGTATAGTTTAGAAATGATCTGTTCATTACCCAAGAGACTGCCAGTGGTTGCAGGTGAAGAGGAGAAACCAGAAATAATCTTGCTTTTTTTGTGGTAGGAACTACAGTGGACCCCCGGTTAACGATATTTTTTCACTCTAGAAGTATGTTCAGGTGCCAGTACTGACTGAATTTGTTCCCATAAGAAATATTGTGAAGTAGATTAGTCCATTTCAGACCCCCAAACATACACGTACAAACGCACTTACATAAATACACTTACATAATTGGTCACATGCGAAGGTAATCGTTATGCGGGGGTCCACTGTACAGGTATTAAGCTTGAAAACAATACTTTTATAAGATATTTCTAGAGTACAGTAAACCCTTGATTAATGGACTCAAAGAGGGAAGGGTGTCCATTAACACTTCACGGCTGTGTCATATATATATATATATATATATATATAATATATATATATATATAATATATATATATATATATATATATATATATATATATTATATATATATATAATATGTCTTCTGAGCCAATGTTGGTGACGTATAATACGCCAAAATTCTAGCGGCTTCAAATCAAGCGGAAGAAAGCTGGTAGGCAACATGTGAGAGAATGGGTCTGTGTGGTCAGTGTGCGCAGTATAGAAAAAATCCTGCAGCGTGCAATGCATAATGAGGAAAAAACTCCGACTGTGTTTTTGGATTAAAATGCCACCTTTGAGGTGTATTTTCATATAGTATTTATAGTTGTATTCTCGTTTTCTTCATCTCATTTGATAAAATGTCAGATGTATTACAGAAGTAGAGATGATCTTGATTGGTTTAATGATGAAAAGTACTTTGAAATTGACCTCAAAGTAGGAGAAATGTTTGAATTTTGCTGATGTCAAGAGTAAATAAATGATGTCACCTTCCAATACGTGTTCAACTTGCCAGTCTAATATGCAGTCATGAATGGGTTGACATTATTTGTACAGTTATTACAGTAATGCAGTAGTCTGCATAACAATTAAGTCTTCTATTTTTTGTGTGAATAAAAATTCAAAATAGAAAGTAAGAGTAATATAAGAGGGACTTAGAGACGTGACTGATGAACAAAGAAAATGTTATTTTAAAGCCAGGAATGTCTGCATTGTTTATTCTGGACTCTATTTTGAAATTGGCACCTTTTGAATTTTTTGTGAAATTGGCCAAATTGCCGATTTCTGACCAATTTATTGGGTAGTTGAAATTGATAAATGGGTGGTTTCTTGTACTCAATCGATAGAAGAAATGAAATTCTAAAGAAATAGCTATGAGTTTGATCGACTGGAACAATGGAATTGGTCAAAAATAGGGCTCAAACTGGGCGAAATCGCCTATGCGTATATATTGTCGAGATTGCTAACTTTGTGAGAGCATAATTCTGTAAGTTTTCGATCAAATTTTGTACTTTTGGTATCATTACCATCGGAAAAAGAGTATCATTTCATAAGAAATTTTTTTTTTTTTTTTTGGGGGGGGGGATTTTTTGCCACAGAGAGGGAGTTAAGTAAGTAAGTAAGTAAGTAAATTTATTCAGGTATACACAATACAGTTATATAGAATTATCATACATAGCAGCTATGTGTAAGAACCAGGAACCCAAAAAAGTCAACAAGGACTTTTTCCATTGGG